CTATATATGCTCTCCCTCTGCTCTCACTCTTTGTTGGTTCCTTGTCTTTGCTGTCCTCCCGTGCTGTTGTCCACGTTTCTCGTTCTCTCCCTGGCTCCTCGTGTTTGGTTTCCCCCAGATGTCTCCATAGATCTGGTTTGCTTTTGATTATTAGTTGGATTTTTGCATTCCTGCCTTTGTTACTGTTTTTGCCCCCATTAAACTCCCAAGAAATCTCCTCAGCCTCTCTGCCTCTGCATTTGGGTCCTCTACCACAACCTAACCCTGACAGACAAACACAAAAACCCTCTTTCCACTGGCTGCTAGGATCCAGGACACGAACCAAGGAACAAAACTAACAGACAGGCTAACAGAAAGACAAGTAATGATCTGGCACTGAATGCTCAGGCTGAACTGAATATAAACCAAAGGAAAGAGGTGAGAGGAATAAATTATAATTGAGGCAGGGAGGGAAAAACGACAGGTGAAAGGAATGACTAAGGGAGGGCAAACAGGCCAGATCATGACAAGATTCAATATATATTTAGGTTAGGATTGTAGGGTGACAAAATATCAAAATTCAAGGACTATGGATATTTTTGCCAGGTACTTGTCTTTGAAATGACAAATGTTACCCACAGTTTTCTCCCTTTGAACATGCTAATATGATGCATTTTAGATATATATTTTTTGTATCACTATTTCAATTAGGTTAATTTTGATATATATTTAAAAACATATACTAATTCAGTTTGGGAAACTAGTGAAGCAAATAGCAGCATTATTCTAAGTAAAAATGTATGTTTGCACTCGTAACAGCCCACAATCTATATCGTTAAAAGAAAGAGCAAAAACAGAAGCCGACTAAAGTCCAAAGGAAACCCCTGCATTGGTGTTGATAACTAGAGTGAGAAAAAATCATGCCTTGCTGATGTTACTTTTTTCTTTTTCCTGTTCAAGTGATTTAAGCCGGGCATACTCTGTACGATTTTTTCGATCGTTGTATGCAGCTACAGCTCACACTGTACGACGAAACCGCAGGGCTTAAAAGTTCACAAGATGCATGTTCTCACACTGTGACCCGACGCTCTTATGCGATTTACCTGCTCACACTGTACGTCAAAAACCCACGTTGCAATCAGCTCTGCTGTGAGCTGGGACTAGTCTATGCGGAAGCCAAACAAGTAGAAGAGGAATATGAATCTCACTAGAGAGAAACACGCTGCCTTTTGCAAAAATGCAATTTGTAAAATTTTGTGAGCTGAAAGCCCTAAAAAGAAAAGGGTACAACATATTTGTACAAAAGCATGGCTGAGCAAACATGGCTGCTAAGGTCTGTCAATTTTACAGAAACATTTCACCTGACCTCCGCCATGAGGAAGAAGAAGAAACATTGTTTGCACGTGCCTACTGGATGATTTGCCATGACGGCTGGCTGAATTTCAAACATGTTTGATTTTCTCCTGACCTCACGATTCCTGATCGGGAGTTGGTTGTGAGTGGCCGATCTCCCCTCGTTACCCCCTGTATACTACAGGAAGCACATTGCAAGATCAGACTGAAAGTTGGCTGAATCAGGGTAATCAGAATGAAAGTCTGACATGTGATCAGGCTCAGGTGTTTGTTGCGTATTTGAGGGTGTTTCAAACTGGACTCTGGATGCTGATTGGATTATGAGGTGCTGGGGTTGAATGCTACTTGGCTGCCTCACAGATGGATAAGTCCTCGATTGCATGAGGGTAAGTGATCGGGAATATTCAGTTAAACTTCCGGTAGCCTTCATAAACTGTCACTTTTTTCATCATACACATTATTTAAAAACCTATCCAAATCCATCAATCCATTTTCTCCCGCTTAGTCCTTGTCAGGGTTGCGGTGGGGCTGGTGCCTATCTCCAGCAGTATACGGGCAAGAGGTAGGCTATGCCCCCGGACAGGTCGCCAGTCTGTCACAGGGCAACACAGGGACATACAACCATGTACACACACACACACTCACACCTATGGACAATTTACAGTAGCCAATTAACCTAACAGTCATGTTTTTGGACTGTGGGAGTGTCAGGTCTAAGCACCTAAAACATCATACATACATACAGGGAAAGAAAGAAGGCAACGAGACAATTAATTTAGTTTTACTCACGAGGAGAGTAGGAAGAGGCTGCGGAGTTTACAAATCTCCAACCCACTCTGCGGTCCCAGCGTTCTCCTTGCTATTTATTGGAATCAGTGGTCCCTGGTTACAACAGCTAGAGATGAGAAACAACATGAGGAATTCAGACTTGCAGTCTCAGTAAACATCCTATAAATTTCAGGGTTCAGTCAAAGATTAAGCTGTTGAAGCTGTTCACCAAAGTTCAGCAGCTTGAGTGCTGCTTGTAAATCAACCACAACCTCCCCAAAATCACAAATCACAGTATACTTCAGAAAAGATGGCTATGAACACATGCGCATTGCACACAGCTTTATGCATTATAACACTACACAGATACATTTATATACAATTATTCTAACAGGGAGGACGCCGGAGTACCTGGAAAGAACCCACACATGCACGGGGAGAACATGCAAGCTCCATGCAGAAACACCCCGGGCTGTCTTGCTGCAAGGCAACAGCGCTACCCACTGCTTCACCGTGTATTCAAATTGCATAGTTAAATTATTGTTGGCATCAGTCTTTTTGACAATGTAATGCAAAGAGCTTCAGTGAAATTAACATCTTTTATTTAGAATTTAGTCAGATTTTAGTCAGCAAGATTCTTGCTTAGACTAAAAGAATATAGAAATATCACAATCCAAAAAATGAACCCTTTCCTCCCCCACATTTTACTCTCCGAGTAACACCACAAATATGCACTGTGCAGCAGGTGAAAACTAAATACAACAACTTACTTCAAAATTGTAGCTCTAATTTATGGGATGCCACCAGGGGCATAAATAAGAATTAACACCCGTAGACACATATGAAATTAAAGTCTTATACATACAGTACTATACTGAAGACCTTGCACAATCACCAGTGAAAATCTCTCACATAAACTAGTGAAAACATTTACCTCCTATATAACCTAATTGATCTCTATTTATTCACTTGATTGCAAATAGCCCGAATAAAGTGAAGTCATCCACCTCCATCTTGGTAGTCCCCACGCCCATTTTTTTTATTCTCATGTCATTTTTTTCATTTATGTCTGTTAGGACTCCAGTCTGTGTTTTTGTGTTTTTGTCTTCCTTCCTCCACCAGGCGGCGTCTGGTTCTGATTCTCCTCTTCACACACCTGCAAGGGGTTACCTCCTCAACGGAATGTTCTTAAGCTGCTGACTGCCACTACCTAGACGCCAGAGTGTTTGCCAGTTTGGGGTACTCTAGCCAAGCTGAGTTTTGCTGAGTAAAACTGTGTTTTTGTCAGTCTGAGTCTTAGCATTGTTTTTTTGTCTTTGCCTCTCGGCAGGGGAACATCCTGCAGATTTTTCGGACCTTCTCTCCCTGGAAGGATCAACTGAGCTTCAAACTGAGCTGAGGAAACAAACCGGAGGTTTGGATCCACTTTTCCCCAAGGAAACGTTTGAGCTTCTCACTGAGCAAGGGATTTATCTGCACAACAGTCCGTCAAGTAACGCAGGAAATCCGAGTGGCAGTCCGCCTTTCTCTGTTCATCTACAAGCAACCGCATTCTGGGTAAACCTGTCCGTCCTCCACCGTACTAGACAAACACCGGAACACATTCCTCACCTACTGGAGTCTAAGAGTCAACCTAATCTCTGGAAACGTGAGTCTGCCAACCTTTTCTCCTTTTCAAGTTCAAGAATCAATTCTCCCACTGAACCTGAACTAACCACAGTGTCTTCCCCTCACCTTTCAGTTCCGGTTGAGCAGTGTTCAGAGCAACACTGGAATCTCCACAAAACTTCTCAATAAACCTGTTAAACTTTTTCCCTTGTCTCTCTGGACTGGTTTATCTGCATGTGGGTCCGAGCTCTTGATAAAATCATGACAGAGAAATCTTTTTTATTTGTCATTTCCCTGCTAAATGAAATATGAAGAAGAAAGATAACTGTGGGTGTCTGGGGGGTTTGCAGTTTTTCATTTCACCTTCAGATGGTGCCATGGGGACATTGTTGGTTGGGCGGTTCTTGCAGGTGTCCTTCACTATTGGGTTTCCATCAAGCTCCATTAAGAGGACTACTAGAGGAGTCTGCAGCTGGTATTTTGTCACCTGAGTGTTAATCTTAGTGACAACTATATCCCTCTTGGTTTCTTACTCTGAAGCTTTGCTTGTTGAACCTTACCCACTTTGTTTCTTTGCTCCCTTCAAGGCTTTTCTGCTGTGGACAGTTAATTCCATATCAGTATGTTGGCTCACTTCCTTTCATCTCCCACAAATCTTTTGTAAAGAACAGGGTTTTTTTTGCCTCCTAGCTCTTTCCAAGGTGTCTCCAACTTCCTCCTTTGTCCGCCCCCCCACCATTCTCCTTGGTCCTGAAACACCTCCATCTGTATATCTGACATCATCTCCTTTCTCAGAACTTGACCTGCTGGACTCCACTAACTCCCCCTTGGCATTCTGTAGACCCCCTTGGTTCTTGAGGTCTGCTGTGCTGCAGGTTGTCAATGTTTCTGGGTTTCATTTTCATTAGTTCAACAAGTTCCTTTTAATCAGCTATCGATGGGAATCGGCTGTGTTAAAGGGGAATTTATTTTTTTTTTTTTTACATTTGGCCCTTGATTTTACGTTATTACATGATGTTCTACTCACCCATATAAGTTTTGTGTCATTTGGAGCCGTTCTGAAGATATTCTGTTAGGTTATATCCAAGTAACGTCTTCCTATGAGAAAACAACTTGAAGGCACAAACTGAAGTGTTCATAATTTATTATTTATGGTACGCCAGCATTCATAACATGTAGGCGAATCACGGTCCCCCAGACATCCGCGGATATATTTTTTATATTTATATCTTTCAAAAACAAAGCGGCACGTGTATAACGGAATATCTTCAGAACAGCTCCAAATGACACAAAACTCATATGGGTGAGTAGAACATGATGTAATAATGTAACATTAAGGGCCAAATGTAAAAAAAAAAAATGGTGTTCCCCTTTAAAGCAGGGAAACTTCAAAACCCTTTAAACCCTCCCGAGGGCTGTATTGGGAATGAACCAGCGCCATCTGCTGTTATCTTTTAAATCTGCACCATGTAGCAGTGGTGGGTACAGAGGCCCCATCTAATGTAATGGACTGGGGGGGTGGTAACATGTCTGTGAATGTGTGCGTGTGGAGAAAATATGATATTTGAGCCATGTTAGAGCACAGGAGAGTTAATTGAGTCCTAATTGTCCATCTCACAGCATGTGGATGTCTATCCCCCACCCACCACACACACACAAATTTGTTGACACCCATTGGCTTCCATTGATTTTTAGTCGTTTTCAATTCTTTCTATTAGGGGTGGAACGGTTCACAAAATCCACGGTTCGGTTCGGTTCACGGTTTCGTGGTCATGGTTTTCAGTTTGGTTCCGTATATGTTGATTGTTAGGAAAATCTATTATGTCTTGTATAGTATAACACGTGTTGCACAATGCTTGCACACTGTTGCACTCTTATCCACAACTTTCTTTCCGCCGTCATCGTAGGTCACTCTAAGTGCAAAGTGGTCCCATACAGCAGACCTAAAAGTGCTGCTGGCGCATCTTTCAAACCCTCTTCTTTCCCACTCGC